GCTTAAACTAACACTGTTATCCAGAGAGACTTACAATGACTGTGACAGCACAATAAGCTTAAACTCCTTAAAGTCAGATGACAAGCAGCAAGGAGTAAGAAGTACAAGTCTCAAGGGCATCGCCTTTAATTCATGTGACCCTGCAATGACCACATAAAACGCAATACCAACCTTTTTCCACTGCGCCAGCATAAGTGAGGTGAACGTGGGCATAATTAGTTGCACATGTGTGCCACTGTACAGCTGATGCAAGCACAGAGTAACATGGAGGATTCAAGGATAAATGTGGGAATAAAGCCTGGAGGGACAGTGCTGAAAAGACTAGAGCAGCCCAGGTGTCAAGGAAGCAGACGGCTGTAACGAGAGAGTCGAGCTCATGGAAAAACATGATTAGCTTTCGGTTTGCTGGAAATTATGGGTCACATTGTGTTTGCTCAGTATATGCGCATATATGAAGGCAGGTCTGCTATGTGTAACTGTGTGCATTTCTGCATGAGTAGGTCAAGGTAATTATAGTTAAAACTGAAACTAGAAATGAGGTTCCTACACAGTTTCTGTGACAAAATTCAATCATTTTCCAGGCCATTTCATGATTTGTTATATTGTTTGTTTGGTGTTGTTTCCTCTATATAAACTTCATATCGCATCACTCTCAGTTGCGGAAGTGTATGAAACAAGGGTCTAAAAAAAAAAAAAATTCACAGAAAAGTTGTCTTTTGGAGCAGTAAAACAACACTTTTCAATACCTCAAGTTATGAGGAAATCTTGCAGGAGTGAATAGACTATAAAAAATGTTATGTCCAAACATAATTCTTTATGCATACAGAAAACTGAATTTTTCTCCACAGCACAGAGTGGGTGCGGAGACAGGCAGGAGTGGGAAGCCAAGACATACTGCAGGCCATTTCTAAAGCGGTCACAGCCCTAATTCGACTTGACATCTGTTATAGGAAGTGTTCACTATAGAACTAATATTGTATTTGCTTTCTGCCACCCCTTGCCCTTTTCACATGTTTGGCCCTGTGCCTTTGCAGGTTTTCAGATAGACATACATCACCATTCATTTCTTTTAGAAACACCTTGAGCATTACTTTTGCATTTGAGAAGAAATGTAAATTGCATTACTATTGATTTTAGTCCACATTTTAGACAGCAACAGAACCAAAACTGAAAAAATTAGTTGACTTTCAAAATTAAGTCGTATTTGAAACCAATAGCAAACAAGCTACGACTATCACTATGAAGGACAAGGACGGTATAAAGAGCATCTTTATTAGGACTGCCCCTCAGAGATCGCTGCTCTCTGCTGGTGTGTTTTTCCTCAGGCAGGACTTTAGTAGATCCACCAAATAATAATCCTTACAGTGAGGGTGGGTCATTAAAGTTGTCAACTTTATGTTCTGAAATTAGGGGTGGAAGGCTGGGGAGAGGTCGATCCATGTCACAATTCTTATCTTCTAAAATTCAGCAGACTTTGGTAGTGATGTCACTTTAACATCTGCATGGGCATAAAGTACCATAGCTAGATCTTGGTATTCTTTACAGAAAGTACCCAGCGTGTAGAATAAACTTATGAATCCATCATTGCACCATTGTGACTGTTTTACGGTATTTTAGAGATGTAACAACTCAGTTTAGTCCCAAAGCTGTAGTTCTTTTGTACACTTCTAGGTAGGGCTGCACGATTAATTGCATTTGCGATATTATCGCGATATGATAAAACGAGATTTTCTAATTGCAAAGGCTGCGATTTCACTCTGTTGCTTCCTCTGCAGACTGCTATACTCTCGTGTCATGTTACCAACTTGTCACGGTACAGCGTAGCGTGACTTGTTGTACAATGGCCTTAAGCTTGACAGAATCTGACACTGCAGAAACTTTAAGTTCATAATACACAGAGCAACTTTTAGAGCAGTGGTGCTGGGCAATGTTGCCACCAACGGTAATGAGTAAAGATTACTACCGTAATCCCCTTCCCCCATCACGCCACAACCCTCCCCGCACCACCACTATCCGTTCAAAACATAGTCTGACTTGCCAACAGCAAGATTGCCCAGAAACATTGCTCAAAAAGTTGCCCCGTGTATCATATTTCTTTCTTTTTAATCTATCTAATGTGTTGGTCATACTATACACTGATTTATTGCATGTCTGTTTTGAATAATTCAGAAGATACAGAGCAATATTGGTAAGAAGATTTTTCCAAAATCATTCAGCCGTACTTCTAGGTATAACACTTAACTTTAATTAATTAAATTAAGTCATCAGATTCAAAAGCTGTGTAATGTGTTATATATGATGGCTTAAGGTTCAACAAATTTAAAGAATCTCGGTAAACTGAGAAAGTACTTGTACCCGCACACCACTCCATATGGCTGGCAAAGTTCAGCAATCACTGGATGTTAGCACTCACTTAAATGTGATATTCTACAAAAGAAAAACACCTAAAATGTGTTAAGCGCATATTATATGCCAACTTTAATTGTAAAATTGCAAATGTAAAAATTTGCTTAGGAATTGGTAGAACAATATAAAAGTATAATTTAGAGTGTTTAATGTCAGCTTTCACCAAGTTAAGTGATTTTTTTCTGATTTATTTGGGGGGTGGATTCAAACTGATTCCATGAAAGGCATTTTAGTAAACCATGATGTCCTAAGCCTTTCCAGGTGTTGGGGAGTTTAATATTGGCCCCACAGTGTCCTGTAGCCCTCAGTCCTCTTACCAAAGGCCCAGTGCTAATTTTGTTTAAAGGTCATACCGTAGAGGGCCCAGCTGGGCGACAGTGGTTGTGTGATGGGGAGAGGGCAGAGTGGGAGCAGGTGAAGAGGGATGGTAAGAGGCATTCAGAGGTGAGGGTGATGACAGCATTTTTGGGCGAGGTTTCAGCCGAAAAGCACTTCAGCTGGCACACCGAGTGTGAAAAGCACAAACCAAAAGTTCACATTCACATTAAGCACACTATTAGCTTGTACGCCCTCAGACACTGCAACCGTCACGCATAGAGAAACACACTCCCACATGCACACAACCTTTCAGCCACTCATTCAAAAGGTGGTTCATACCCTTCTGGAAACTAAACTAAAATGCATTATGATTTTTTTTTTCCTCCGGGAAGTGAGTATTTAATATGCAAAAATTGCACTCACAATGGCTTTTCATAGTTTCCACAACACTTTAGCTAGTGAACCAGCTGCAACATGCCAGCACTCCTATAAATATCTCAAACAGACAGCCTGCAAGTTAGCAACAGCTACATATCAGTCAATGTTGTCAAGCTGGCCAACCAGCTGATCATGACACATTGTCAGCCTCAGTCAGTCAAACATTGAGGCTAGTGAGCACTTGTCCTATTTTCTTGACAAAATAAAATACCATCACATTTACTCGGACAATGACTTATAAATTTTTTTTAAAAAACCCAAAACAATCACACAGGAGTTTTGACAGGGTGCCTGCTTTCTATCCATCAGCACTGTTAATGTGTGTGCATGTGAACATTTGTGTGTAAGGCTTTGAACAAGCGGGTTAACGTAACTGAAGCTTGCAGTGCATCTCAATATATTTTATGAGCTTGTTTCCTGAAGAATACAGACAACATAAAGTTTAAGACTTTTCCTCCTACAACCCAATGAACGGATTTCATATTTTTACATAATTTTAGGTTTCCAGACCTGAAAATTGTCATTTTTAATCTTTTGTTGAACCTGCAGAGCTTCACACAGTTTGCCAGATTGCTTTGGCATAATCTGTTCAGTCCTTTCAAAAATGATTCAATTAATTTTTTTTAGTTGACTTACTGCCATGGGACAATTAATTATGGTCATTGTACTTCAGTAATGTACTGGCTGACAGCTTACAATGAAATGCTGTGTTCTTTTCTTTCTCCTGGAATTGTTAGAAATCCTGTGGTTTTCATAGATGAACTTTGGAGTATCCACACATCTACAGGTATTGAATTGATATGCACTTCATTTATGCGTCTATGTACAGCTACTATTTCACCTGCTACCTTATCTTGCTTGATTCAAATGTGACACCTGCGTGTGCCCAACGTTCTTTATATCATTATGTTTTTAAAACATGGGTAATGCTACTGTTGCTTCTGTCCTGGTTAGAATTTGTCCTGCTGCGTGTTGAATGATCTGCAGTTTATGTAAAGTCTTAAAAAAACATCACGGCAATCAAGCCTGCTAGAGATAAAAAGCATCTATTAGGCTTTTAGTACCAGCTTGCCAGAGGAATGTCTGTAATCAAATGAAGATTAATAAAAAGAACAAACATGAATAGATTGAGGCTAGATGTTTTGTTCCCAGGATTTTAAGCTAATGCACAGGGTCTTTGCTTCAGTAATTAGGTAAGTGTTTGACATCCGCAAATTGATACAGTCGCTGTATTGAACTAATTATAAACAGGACTGACTGATTTAGAAAGCTACAACTACATATTGTCTACAAAGGCAGTAGTTAGACAAGTATTTTCTCATATTGTCTGTCCAATATAGGCTACAGCGAGCAGCAGGTTAGCTTAGCATACACACTGGAAACAGAGGAAAACAGCCCCACTGGCTCTGTCCAAATCTAGAGTTTAAATCTCAAACAAACAATTAAAAACAGTGTTTCACCAATGCTCATTCTTAGGCCCTTTACAACAAATGCAAGAGATCAAAACAAATAGTTTCCATTTTCAGCGCAAGAGAGAAGACAAAACCCATCAAAGTAGTTCCGCTTTCACCACCTCCACACTCCAGAGATACATTGCACAATACTATATGATCCATTTACCAAAACGGGGCCTCTGAGTTTGTAGTATTTTTATACTTCCAGGTGTGAAACTTCAGCCTAATCTTTTTTATAAGCAACACTAAACAAAAACCATCAAGCTTGAACAGCAGCTTCATAGCGTCAAAAATGAACACAAAGAATGTGTTTTGGAGGTTGTTAATTTACCTAGAAGAGTAGCCAAAATCAATATCTGTTGTCAGCATGAGTCTCTGACTTACCTCTCGTCGCCGTGACGCCCAGCAGCTTTGTTTGATCTTCCAAACTACGGCGGCCACCAGGAGCAGGGACAGGAAGCAGCTGTGGACAAACAGTGAAAGGAAGAGACAGGAGTTCAAAACAGAGAAAAAGACAAAACACTGGGAGCCTGGGGAACATCTGAGGTCCCATTTGTAGCTAAGAAGTGCATGACAACGTGTAGCCTATCAGTTTCTGTCATAAATAAATTAATCCATGACCAGGGATTCTCCTCTTTGAACTTATGCATATTCATGTGTGTTTTGTTCCGACAGCGTTTGCCAGAAGAGCCCACATCGATCAGTATTATTTTTTAATGAGCTACAGGCTTGAAGCTTGAGGACCAACTTTTTATTTCTTTTCCTTCTGACAAAAAAAGTCATTCCTGCTCTGCCATGACACGCACAACTTTTAAAGTCATTTTGACATATAGATTCAAAAACAGAGCCTGCTCTAGATACAAAATGTTCTCAAATATTAGAATCAAAATAAAAATTATCTTCACAGTTAAAGTATATAAATCAACTGAGGATGATGGCAGTGGTTCACAAGATTAAAAGGTGCAAGTGCAAAATAGTGTCAGAGGAAGCAGCTGTCGAGAAAGGTGTTGGGGGGTGGGGGGGTCACCTATGCTATGAGATTGCCAAGAGGTTTGGGAAGGTGGTAAACTAGACACACAATTGTTTCCTGTCTTAACACCTTTACGTGCATACATACAGGTTATAATTTGATTTGATCTGCATGAAGGTTATTTTATGTCCCATATTTATTTCTGGATGATTCTTCTGAGTTTTGTTTTCTATATCATCTTTGTCGTCTTGATTCGCACTCTTCTTTGGCTTGATATTATTTTTAAGCACATTTTCAGTATTTTCCACAAATACGCAAATAAAATATGAAAAGAATCAAAACCCTGAGTGTTGACATGTCTTGGAGGTGGTTTGTTAGCAGCCTCACTGTGTAAGTGTGTGTGTTCCCTGGCTCCCTCCACTTTCCCTGGTTGTATTCAGAAGACAGGAAAGAAAACCACAAAAATAAAGACAAAACAGTGTGTGTGTGTGTGTGTCTGTGCAAATACATCAGAGACCACATATAATCTGAACTTCATTCCCTGACTGTTGTGACTCTCACTGATTCCTGTCAGCGTTCCTGCAGCTCTCTGGCCCAGACTTCCTATATTTCAGCTCATATCAGTGTTGGTAATAGGCTGCTGATGAGTGAGGTATCAGCAGCATGATGTCAAAACACCAGTGATCTTAACATCTCAGATTTTCCTCTAGGAAAAAATCGACTGAGTTTTATGGCATATAGGATGGCTCATTTTAAGCATGTGAACACAAAGTCAAAGTACAGTAACTGAGCAGATTATTTACCATTCATACATTTAACACCCTGCCATGGATTCAAATACTGAACATGTAATGTATGCCCCATGCATGTACAATAGTGTGCAAGGTTTTTTCATGTTAATAGATTATATTTATCAATGAACAAAATGCAAATTTGTAAACAGAAGAAAAATCTAAAATCAATATTTGGTGTAACCACCCTTTGCTTTCAAAAAAGCATCAATTCTCCTCTCTTTTTGGACATTCAGAGAATTTTCATTATTATAATTTACCATAAATACAAGAATTGCGACCTGATCCCTCCTTGCATTCATCCGCTCTGCTGTCACAGCAATACTTTGCCATGAATTTGTAAAAAGCTGATTAGAAACTCTAACCGTATACATGGCCAAGAACTCCCAAGAAAACCAGAGAAAATTCCCTATCTTACAGAAACCAGGACTCATGTTTACTAGGGCTGAAACGATTCATTGATTAAATCGATTACTAAAAAGGCATCCTAATCCACCCTTCGTTTAAACTACACACTAAACACACTGCAAAATTTCCGTGCGTAACAAAGTGGAGGAAGAGAGAGAAAATAGCGAGAGACAAAGAAACAAAAGTGTCCTAAAGAAAACAACAACTCTTTAATGTTACCCTCCGTCCACCGTAAAACGAAACTTATGTCGTCTCGGCTACAGCACGACGGCACCTGATCAGAAAGTCCACGGTGTTCTGCCAGCGGACCACAGACAAGGTAACAGCAACTTTAGCATTTAACTGAAATCATGATTGATTGCTGCACCTTTTTACTCCCCTCCAGCTCTCTCTGTAGCTCAGACAATCCCTGCTTCCTGCGCGTGCCAATTCATCCCTTCACCCATATTCTTTGTCTTTAAAATTGCCATCTTTATAATAAACAACAGCTGTTTTGTGTGCAGGATCGCTCATTTCCCGTTTCACATTCCATGTGTGTTTTCTTAACAAAACCTGGTTTGGAGACCAGCGTCTGAGAGTCATGTAGTCTGCACGAGCCTTTAGAATAACTTGTATAGCACTGGGGTGATGTTTGCATCACATGTTTGCAGACACATGCCTTTGGTGTGAGAAACCCAGGTTCAATCCCCCACTGCGACCCATCTACCATTGTGTCCCTGTGCAAGACACTTAACCCCTAGTTGCTCCAGACACAAAGCAATTGTAAGTCGCTTTGGATAAAAAGTCGCCACCAAGCAAGCAAAAGTACTTCTTAAACAACGCATCGATGAATCGTTGAAATAATCTATAGAATCTTCAAGCACTAAAATCATCGTTTGCTGCAGCCCTAATGTTTACATGGTTACGTTGCTGCAGAAATGAAACTGTAGACAACCTGGTTACTTGAGTGCAGGTAAACACACCAAATTAGAATATGAATCTTAAACATTTAGTTCTTACTTTGCTTTGGAAGGAATTTTTTTTACAGTTATATTTTATATTTATAATGCGGTTTGTGTTTACTGCTTTGACCTGTTTATAAAGGCAATTTACTCTTTTTAAATCTAATTCAGTTGGCATCAATACATTTTCATATACACGATGTGATTTAAACTTTTCAGAGTTAACTGTTTTTTATATTAATGTTAACAATTCAATATCATGTTCAATCCTGATAGGCTAGAAGTATCATTGTAGCTAGAAGCTATTTTTAATCAACAGAGAAACTTTGTTGGCAGACTACAGTACAGTATTTATCATAAAAGTCTGCAGAGTTTCTGGTTGCAGCTGCATTTAATGCAAGACTACCTGGATGTTATCAGTGGAATAACAGGCAACTGTCTTTGATTAATTTCTGTGTACATTTAACCACACTAAGGCTGAAAAGTGTTGCCCTTGAAACTAAGTGCATCTGATTTTCTTCTTTCATTTAAGATCACAGGACTAATGTACGTGAATTCTCTTTAAGGGGTTAGACGTGGATTTAATAAGAAACTCCAAGTTGAGGCATAACTTCTACAGACATATGGGCCTTCCGGAGAGACCCCTCACAGATATTTCTCCACAGTACTACCACCTTTTCAATCTAAATGCCTCTGCCCATTTTAATACTGGCTGTGATGCATTCAGATCTTTATTCATTGCTCCCACCTCCCCCTGCCCACCCTGTGTGACTCTTTAAAGTGCCATCCATTCAAAAAAAATCCCCTTATCTCTTCAGGCTGAAGAGGACTCTTAAGTGATCCATCCGTTCAGCCATCTTATTGATCTGGCTTCCTGCTCGCTGCTTAAAGAGCGACATGGTGCTGATGAATGACCCGCATGAATAGATATCAGCCCTGCATCAAAGGCCTCCCTGCTCAGCGGGGTGGGAGGGAAAAACGAGAGAGAGAGAGAGACAAAGGATGGGAGGAGAAGGAAAGACAAAGGGACACAAGGAAATGGGCAGTAATGGTGAAAGACAGAGCGATAAAGGCAGATAAAAGATTAGAAAGTGCAAGCTAAAGTCAGAACAATGGACGAAGTAAAGGGACAAAGACAGAAACAAATGGAAGACTGATATGGAGATATATTGATGACAAAAGACTTTATAGAACACAGAACTAATTGAGCGCTAATCAACGTTTGAGAGCGCACATGCACAGTTTCATTAGAGCAGAATCACATTTGAGCATGTAATACCGATCATGTGCGCACTTGTTTCTGAGTCAGCTCTCTCATTTTTCTCAAGCTACTTTCGCAGCATCGGAACACCTTAGATCCCTTTTCATAGTTTTCAGTCACGTGACGTGCGGTGACCTGGAGGGCAAAACAACAGACCAACATAGCGGCTCTCACCATGACTCCCTTGTAGAGACGCCACAAAAGCAGTCAAATTTTATTTGGATCACCTTTCATAGCCAATCCATATATCCCGCATTTCTACCGTTAAAACCGCCAGGTCCCTGTCGCCGCTCAACTGTGGTAATGTTTACAGTTACCTTGTGAAGAATCCCTCACCTAACACAGCCCAGGCTCGTCTCCTCTTCGATTAGAGCATCCGAAAGCACAACAACCATCCAGCATTTTGGCAACGCAAAAGTAACAAACTCAAAGTAACAGTGCATCACTTGCTTCCCGGTTGGCAGGCAGTGGAAAATAATGTCTTTTTTGCCCTCCAAAGGAGCGTTTTCCTTCCATGTGACGTCCCGTGAAATAGGTCGCTTGCCAACCATTTTTAGCAAGCTGCAATAAGACGTGCAAGGTTGTCCAAAATTGTCATCTTTTGAATACATTGCTCCTTGGAAAGGAACAATTGACCATGGCCAGGACAGCATGTGACAGCATATTTTATGCTTCCAAATATTGCTAACTGGATGGTATAACAGGATGACCCTTTATTTCCAGGTCAAATTAAATAGGTGACACTCTCAGTTTGAGTTTGCGCTTAGGGGATTTAGACTGGTAAACATGAGTGCAAGCAGCTTTAATTATTACATGGGAGAGAATCCCTATTTTTGCCTCAAATTTAGTTACAAAATTCCTTTTGCATGCTAATTCTGCTCTTACAAATCTGTGCCAGTGCACTCTCAAAGGCTGACTTGCAGACTCAATTGCTCGAATTTGTTTTATGCTCTTAAATATTTTGTTGTCATTATACTTTCATAGACGGCGACCAAAAGACAAAGAGTGAAAAAGAAGCACCTAGAAAAACAACAACAGGGAGATCGACACAAAGAAAAAAAAGACACAGACAGAAACAGACTGAGCAGTGCA